TTTGGGGAGCGGTTTAGGAATTGTCGCAATGTGGCAAGTGCAGCTTGTCCAGTCCAGTGCCATTCTACCGCCCGACGCCCTCGTGCATCAGTGTTGAGACAGACTGTCTGTTTCTGCCTGGGTGTACCAATCTGATATTCCGAATGTCACTGCTTTCTCGGTTGACATGCTGTGGCTTTTGTAGCTTCTCTATCAAAGTTGGCAGCCCTGTAATCTGCATTGCTAAGTCTGCTAAGAGCACTTAACCTTTCTCTGAACGGCACGGCCCGCAGCAGCTTGTGCTGACACTTCGATCTGACTGCAAGGCGCTCGATCTGCAGCGCTGCGGAGCTCAAGGCTTCGACAGCAGCGGTGCCATTGAGCAGCTTCTTCTGCGACTGGCGAGGCAGGGACCGTGAAATCATGATGGAAGCTGTCGCGCAGCTTGGCTTCAGGAATGTTATTTCATGTTTGAGATGCATTTGGAGGCCAGGTAAAGGTTAGCAGCGACAGCAGGTGCAAACCACCGCTCAGGCAGGATGGGGACATGCTGATGTACGCCTCAAGTACACTCAGGCCGCTAAGCAGCTGTGTCTGCCCATGCTAATGTTATGTCACATTAGCCGCAGAAGGTTGTTGAGATGTTTTGGCCCTGGCCGGCTCCTGGGAACCTGACAGGAGCCTTGCCGTCCGATACCTTTTGCCCAAGCGTTGTCTCGAGTACACGCATCCCCGGTACTGAAAGCTTTTGCTTCTGCGCTTTGGCGAGAACCCTTGAGCCATCGTGCAGCTTCATGAAATTTCTGATCCTTTTGCTGTGGCCCTTGCTGGCATCCGGGCTGCGTCGCAAACCCCAGGGCCGAAGTGGTGTCTTTGTGCACCTGTTTGAATGGTCTTGGCAAGACGTGGCCAGAGAATGTGAGGATTGGCTGGGTCCAAAGGGTTTTGCTGCAGTGCAAGTATCACCTCCAACAGAACATATTCAGGGCCGTGAGTGGTGGACGCGCTATCAGCCTGTCACCTACAACCTAACCAGTCGCTCCGGGGATGAGAAAGCCTTTGCTTCAATGGTGATGCGTTGCAAAAAGGCAAATGTTCAAGTCTACGTCGATGCCGTCCTCAATCATTGCGCCGCAAACAAGGGGGCGAGCATCAGTGGCAACACCTACGGTGGAAGAAGAACTCCCATTTTCAGCCCGGAGGATTTCCACCACATCCCCGGCGACACCAGTGGAAACTGTGGTGTAAGCAACTTTGCAGACATTCACAACGTTCAATTCTGCGACTTGCAGGGCTTGCCAGATCTCTGCACCGAGTGCGAAGGTGTGCAAAGCAAGATCGCAGCTTACTTGAGCGGACTCGTAGAGCTTGGTGTGGCTGGCGTGAGGCTAGATGCCGCCAAGCATATTCCAAAAGCCGATTTGGCAAAGATCTTCGAGAAAGTTAAAGACGGCAACAAGCTGCTGAAATACGCCGAGGTCTCGAAAGCGACTACGACAGATGTCGTGACCGAAGAGTTATACATTGATCTGGTAGACGTCATCGAATTCAACTATTACCCACAGCTTGACCAGGGCATTGCAGAGTCGGGCCGCATGTCAAATTTGGAATCACTAGGAGGGGCACCAGATCTGGTGCCAGGTTCTTCTGCAGTGGTTTTTGTGGATAATCACGACACGCAGCGTTCCAAGGATCCAAGCTCCGTTCGTTTCCACACACATGTGCACATGCCGAATTTCGTTTAGCCTGCATGATGTGAGAGGACAGCAGCAACGCGGCAAAGCTGACTTACAAATCTGGAAAGCTATACCAACTGGCCAGTGCCTTCATGCTGGCCCATCCCTACGGGTATCCTCAGATCATGAGTTCCTTTCATTTCAGCGACTATGACCAAGGTGCCCTGCCCAGAACAGCTTGCCACCTCAGGATACCTCAGGTAAAGAGTCGCAGGGTTCGCAAGCATTTTCATGTAAATGCCCGCGTGGCACCTGGTGTTTGTCCTAGACTGTGAGGTCCACCTTCAGTTTCTGTCCACAAAGAAGATGGGGACCTCCGTTGTGGAGAATTCCAGCCATGGGTGTGTGAGCACAGGCGTGGCCCGAACAAAGGGGACTCTGACCTGTCTTTAGCCCTGGCTCGTGCGCATGCTTCTGACGTGACATCGATGTGCTTCACGACGCAGCAGAGCACCCACAGCTACATCAGAGCCTGCCCGTAGCCAGCACAGGGTCATCACAGGCTGTTCCAGCACGACCTGTAAACATGTGGCATCAAATACAAAAATCTGCACTTTTTTCGCGCAAAAGATTGCGACGCTTTAAATTCCTGCCAGAACTTCGTTGCGTTGCTGACGCTTCGTAAATCGGCCTGCCCCTATGCATTAACACAGTTTCACACACCTCAAGCGGAAGGGCAATGGTTGGCTAGGGCCTACGGGCCTTGGGCAGAGAAGGGCTACCACCTCCGCACGTTCGCTCCTTAGGCATTCGCTTTCCTTCCAAAGGAAGCAGGTAGATGTGTTGGAATTCGTGTGGAAGCAAGAAACTTCGCAAGTTGCGGTCGGAAACGAAAATCAACAAACAGTAGCATGCGCAGCATGCCGCAAGCTTGACATCAACTTGACATTCATTTAGGCGAGAATCTTTAATGTAGACAGCTCTCCATCCTGCCAAGCAGAATACCGTGATTCGGTGCCATCCCTGGCAGTAAGCCACACACAAGGAAGTTTCAGCATGTTGCGCTGATGCCTGTGTTAAACACATTGTTTTCTCGTGTTTCGTAAGAGTGAGTGCAGACCCCTTTGGGCTGGCCAGCTTTTTTAAAATCATTTTTTCAGCTGCAGCAAGGTGGGCTGGCATCGCGAACATGGTAGCATGGCGCCACACTGCCAGCGACAATCCCATCACGCATTTTACTGCGCTCAGTGAAGACACAGTCTCCTTTTGCCGCGGCAGCTTGGGCCTGCACACGAATTGTCCAATCAGTCTCAGTAAGACTTGCAACATGACCTGAGGCAGCGTGGCATGCGTTGCATTCAACCGGCAAGAGTCCGACGAATGGGTGGTCAGCCTCGACTTGCCGCTAGACCCAGGCAAAGCACAAGCGAAGCCTCTGTTTCTGCTTTGAAGAACTAGGTGCAGGGAGGCAAGCTGCGAGCTGTTTGCTAGGTGACTACTGCGACGTGGCGAGTTCGGATGGAGTTGGATGCCCAGTGATCAAGGCACGGTTGAAAGACCACTGGCCTCATGACTAGACTGGTTCTAGCCTTGGTGCCTACAAGCTCTGTATAGGCAACAACACAGCAACACCGTGGGTGGGTGGGTGAAAGTTATGCCCGTGTTTGCTTGTGCTTACCTCTGAGCACCGCTGACCTAGAACTTCTGGCTATGTTCAGGCACCATCGATCCAACTGCACAGCGGATACTTGCATGAAAGCTAGCGGATGGCGGAGAAATCGTCAATGATGTGACGAAACCTGCTGACCCTTGCGTGGTCGTCCAACAACAAACAGTTGCATGTGCATGGTGTTTGTTTGTCTGTGTGAGTGAGAGAGCGAGCGAGAGAGAGAGAGAGAGAGAGAGAGAGAGAGTGAGAGAGAGAGAGAGAGAGAGACACAGCGCGCGGGCACAGGGGGCAACTCCTGTGTCCATAGCCCTGGCGAAAGAAAGAGAGGGGGGCTTCCCTCTAGCCCATAGCCCTGACGAAAGAAAAGAGAGAGAAGTCGTCTACCTGCGCGTGCTCGGGAGCGGCCCTTGGGGCTGGATAGTGTTTGCTCTCCAGACCCGGGGGTGGACGTATTCCCTGAGCGGCGGCTTCAGGCCGCACGCCGTAGGATGGAGGCTTAGGAGGGCCCGACGGGACGCGCAAAACGTCCTTACCTGCCTTGGGATTTCCGTCCTTGTGGGAACCCGGGCTGTCCATTCGGGGGACTTGACGGGGACCTGGGGGATGGCCCAGCAGTAGCGTTGAGGCGCACTTGTTGCGACTTGACCTCAAGCCTAGCTGTGCAGCGCGGTCCTGCAAAGCCTGCGCCTCGAGACCTGGCTGCAACGAACGATCTGGCAAACGCCTGGGCCTCCAGACCTTGTTGCAACGAACGATCTCGCAACGCTTGTGCCTCGAGCTTCTGTTGCAACGAACGACTTTGCAATGCCTGTGCCTCGCGATTTCTCGGCTTGTTCCGGAGCCAAGTGTCGCTCTGCGTGGCCTGGCGGCCACATCGGTGGAGCTTGGAAGGGCGGAAGCCCAGGTAGAGGGAAGGGAGGCGCGGCCGAAGGATGGCTGTGGTCCCCCAAATCCAGGCGGAGGCAACCCGCCTAAGCCACCTCGCCCTGGCTCACTCCTTGAGGTCCACCAGCCCGGCGGCCTCAACCACGGATTGGCAGCGTCGGCTGCTCTGGACAAACCCTGTGCATCGCCTGCTATGCACACGTCCACATCCCGGTGGCCGGATGCAACAGCATGAGCAGCTGATGCGGATCCGCATACCACCGATCGTCCACCCGTCCTTGCGAAGACTCTCGACCTCGCCTCCTCCACGAGCTCGAGGCGGTCCAGGCGGTTGGTGAGCACCTGCTGTCCCTGCACCAAGGTCTGCAGCATCTCCGACTCGTCCGACTTTCGGGACTCAGATCTTCGCGCTCTGGCGACTCCAGCGTCAAAGCCACCCTCGGTGGCCCTGGTTGCCGCACCGAGGCCAACGTCTCATCTGCCCTCAAAGTCGGGCCTTCGCCTCCATGCGTCGAGGGCTTGCTGCCCTCGCAGCACAATCGGCCTGAGCCTCCAGCCCTTCGCAGGGTGGAGGAGCTCCTCATCATCCACCACCTGCTCCCTCACTTGGCTCACCTCAGGGTCTGCCTCATCCAGCCGCATCTCAGGCCTTTCCGCTCCTCTGCCGCTCCCTGAACGCGGTCCTCCTGCCCTTCAGCTCCAAAATCCTCCATCTCGTCGGAGCACACAGCAGGGGTGAACCGACGACGTCTCAAAAGAGACTCCGTCGGATTCACTCCAGCGTGGAAGTTGGACTTTTAATCCCTTCGAGGCAGAGGGTCAAAAGCTTATGGCGAGCACAACGGATGTTTTAGCTACAGCAGCGCGAAAGAAAGCTATAATTGTCGAAAGTTGAAGTTCTTTACATGTGTGTGTGCAGGTGCCTTAGACCAGTATTGTACATGATCATAGCCATAAGGCCTGAAGCATGGTCCTGGGCCACATGCCGGCACACAACACGGAATGTACATACGCAGAACGTCCTGACTCTCTCTCGGTGCTAATACTTGTCATGGTTATATCCAATACGAATCACTAGGACCAAGGATCACGAATTTAACGAGAGGCTATATTGACCAGATGGTACTGGTCCTGAAAGGGCCGTGTCTGGGTACCTGGCGCAATGTGGGTGCTAATAACGGCTGTTCGAGGCGGGCTATATTGACTTTTTGGCACTGGTCCTGAAAGGATCGTGTCTGGGTACCTGGCCCAACGTAGGCGCTACCGCTCCCCTGGCTGCGCTTCCCAAGGCAGGCCAATGTACAGAGTTTCAGGCACCAAGAACCAAGATTCGGAAAAGGTCTGGCGAATCTTGGTTCCCATGAATTGATGCGGATCGTGTCAATCAAAACGCGACCAGGAACCAAGAACCAACATCCCCGGAAAAGTTTTCTGGTGAATCTTGGTTCCCAGGCTTGGGATGCTTGGGCCCGTGTTAATTAACACTGACCCCCAGAACCAAGTCCCACACTTTGTCCCGGGCCCGTGTTAATTAACACAGGCCGTGGTAATCAGCACGGTCCCGCAGGAACCAAGAACTGGAAAGCTTTTTGGACAGCATCTTGGTTCCCACACTTGTCCCGGGCCCGTCTTAATTAGCACGGGCCGTGGTAGTCAACACGGTCCCCAGAAACCAAGAACCAAGACTCAAATTTTCATTAGAATATGCTTTCACATTCAACTCTCGAGGGTGTTGAGCTTTTCCTGTAGGTTTCTCAAGGACTGTTCGAAACGGGCCTACAGTGTTGTTGCAGAAACCTGTCATGCTAACAGGCCGCTAAGAACTGCTTTTGTCTCTGCAATGGGACTCAACGCACCGAGTGCTCCCCATGAGGTGGAAACACACAGAGAGAGATATATATATATATATCTGTACATGTATGTATACATATCTGCATTCGGGCATATGTATGTATGTCCATACGTCCATGTGTGTTGATGTACTTTTTGTATGTATATCTTAATATATGTATGTATTTGCATTTACATGTGCATGTAGAAATTTAGTGCATGTTTTCATATACACTACACACCTACTTCTGTGTAAGTCGTAGAAGACATAAATGAGACGCGGGGTTGATGCCGCTGCCCCGTGGGCCACTAGTCACTAGGCCCCTTGTCTGTGTTCGTCAGAATCCTGGACCAGGTGGACAGTGACAAGACCGCAAAGATCACGGTCCCAGCGCAGGGTTTTGTGGCAATTCATGCAGGGGCACGCAAAAAGAGTCCTCCAACAGACGACGACTCCGAGCTGAGCGAGGCGGGACTGCCCTGATCGATGCCAGCAACTGATTTAGCGCTGCACTGTAGGTGCAGCTTCGTGCAAGACCGGCACGTGCTCCAAAGGGTGTCTTCTCCATCAGCGTTTCTCGGAGCAGCTACGTAATGGCACAGTCCGAAGTTTGCTTGAACCAAGCAATCCGAGGCTGGTGGCGCATACCAAGAATGGTGAAATACATGGGTGCCCGGTTATTTCGCTCCTTGTTATAGCTCGACGATGTCGCGTTCGCCGAAAAAAAACAGGGTATGCGCTTGATGGTTGTTTGCGCGTACTGCAGATATGTTGCACTTTGCCGTTTGCAAAGACAATTTGCAGCTGAAGCCAAAACCGGCCAGGGCCGACAGAGACAGAGAGCTGGTGATGACTGCACTGAACCGTGGTGGACCTCAAGTTCTTCACCATGCCTCGGAAGAGCTGCAGCTCGCCTGCCAGATTCAAGCTCGGGTTCCAATTCGCTTGTGGTACATGCTTGCTGATCAGGAAGCCGCAGCCGCAGGGGTTAGGGGAAGCTCGCCACAGTGTTCAAAGAGCAGGCACGTGCGACGGATCTTGCACGCCTGCCTTCTGCAGGCAAGCAGAATTGCCCGCAGCCCCAAGCCTCCAAGCGTGAAGTGCAAAAAGATGAGCGTGCTCGCAACTGCATCTGGAACTAGGGAGGCTGTCATCAAGTAAGGGTGTTCCCACGTGGAAGTGTATGTACAACTTGCATTGGAGATTTGCATGGCCCGGGCGCTCGTTTGGGTCTCACAAGCCCAGCGCAAGCCGTCACAACAGTGAAGCAGTACACCAGCAACCTCTGACTCTGACACGCTACTCAGACTGGACTGAACCGTGTGCACACGCCAACGGTCGCCAGCATGGTCTTCAGATCATAAGAAAGATGTGACGCCATTATTGAGCGCATGCCTTTCAAGAATGAGGAAAGCGTCTGCTCCTCAGACCTTCACAACAGACCAATAGATGTTTCCAGAAGGAGCAGGTGTGTTGCTTTGCAAAGGTGGTTGCAGATGCTTGGATGCATCCAGCTCCAGCAGCTCCGGAGACGCACCCCTTGCCGTACCGGCCCTTAAGTGGTCTGCCAAATGCAGGAACTCATTCAGCTGCACCTCTGTGGATCATTCGATGAGCACGGACGAGAAGATTCCTGGAAGAGTGCACTGGTCAGCGCTTTGCCTATCAGCCAGCTGGCCGACTTGAAGCAGGAGGACCGCGAAAGCATGGCAAAGTGTGCTCTTTGCCCTTGCTCTGGGAAGGAGATTGCCAAGTTCGTGCCAATCAAGAAGGACACCATCTCCAGCTTCAAGCACGAGTCGACGGTCACCAAGATCTATCACTGGATCATGGCCTACCTGGAGACTTCTTTGAACTTCACTCATGAGAGGTCTCCACAGAGAAGAGAGCCGGGTTTGAGATCTTTTCTCCACCAAGCTAAGGAGAGCAAGGGCTACTTGTCATACACCCGGGTGAACGCACGGATTCTGACCTGCGAGCTGCTCAAAGAGTGGGCTTACGAGCATCGACATTGCAGTGACCGGGAAATGGACCTTCACGTCATGTGTCGCTACAAAGAGCGGCCCGGCAGCTTTGTCCTTTTCCTGCCGGCGTGTCAACCGGATCTTGCATCTCAGGTTTGTGGCCCATCTGCTGTACTTCCACGACAGGTGGTGTCGTTCTCAGGCACGAGGCATACCGAAGTGCTCTGCCCTTGCTCCACTGGCTCAGGGCGGAAAGCAAACACGGTGCCACGCGCACCAGAATACTGGGAGAGCCCCATGGTCTCCTACGTAGCAAGCGGAAGGAGAAGAGCTGGTGTCTCGATAGGCTTGCTGCGGCTAGTGGCTAGCACAGACTCACATCATGACTGGAGGAGACCTTTGTAACGACGCTGGTGAAGGTTCATGATGCCCTGGGCAAGATGCATCAGACTTTGGAGAAGGCCATGGATGTAAAGTTCGGGATGGTTGCACAATGGTCAGTCCCTTCGAAGCTGCAGGTAGAAACGTCCGAGTCGAGCTGCAGCATCTTCCTCGGGCAGTTAGCTGAACTTTTTCAGCATTTTTTGGATCAGGCGCCGGCAGTCGGGGCTGATGTCTGGGGCTTTCGGCTCAGAGGCTCGCCTTGCTCGGCATCGCTCGGCAGGCAGCTGGGATTTGTTTTCTCGGGCCGATGGAGCATCACGAGGCCCGAGGCAGCGCGGTTGGTCGGTTCGAGACATTGAAGCACAGCTTCTCCTGCAGGATATCTGCGCAGCGCATGCAGAGTTTGGAATCGACTTCCTCGAGAGACAAAGGGTCACTATTCGTGGTCACAGCGGCCGCGATCTCACAGCTCCATGCAAAAAATCGTACAACATGCAACGATGCTGTCGCCTGCCTTCACAACGCCTGCAGGCGAGGTCTTCTGGAGTACAGACTGGGGTCGCCTGCTGGACGCAGCATTGCGACAGGGCGATCCAGATAGGTTTCAGCCACTGGGCCCCTTGGCAAAAATCTGCTGCCTTTGCCACCTCTGGGTTAGCCTGTTAGCCAGGCAGCTGGCTGATCTTTTACCAGGAGAAGGGCAGCCCGTGCAACCTGGTGTGTTTGAATTCGGCTTTCGTGCTGGCGTCGGCCTGCTCCCTGAGGTTCAATCTGCCCCCCTTTCCCAACTCGCTAAGCTCGGTAGCATCACAAAGCTGGAGAATCAGCCGGATCGCCATCCAAGGCAAAATGTGCAGATACTATTCACAGCCTGGCCCTCAGGGATCTCGCATGGTCTCGCCAGGCTGGTCACGGAACGGTAGCTTGCTGACTTGCAGGTTGGCGGCCGAGACCCGCCTGCGTTCGATTCCGAAAGCTGCCATATTGCTGGGACCGGGACCGGACACTTTTTGGAGTCCAGCAAGTCTTGATTTGGATCGTTAGCCAACTTTTGTTAATTGCGGACGATCAGAGATGTGCAGTGATTGGGCGCCGGCTTCCGAATCACCATGACAATCCCAGGAATACAGAAGGACGATCAACAAGAAACAGCTGGAACACCAAGCTGAGCCACTGCTGGAGGTGGTTCGTTTCGCAGTGGGTTCGTGACAGACTCAGAAGCTTGTATGCATGTCGAGCCATTAGCAGGCCATTGATGCACACTTGCTGGCGATCGGTGCAAAACCACCTGAGAAGAATCTGTGGGCACGCTACCCGGTCAGAGTACGCCTCTAGCCGGGCAGCATCACGCATAGCTTACTGTAAGTTCTTTGCAGGCGCACAACCTACCGACAGTCGATGACTTTGCAGCAGATACAGCAGCACCTCGACGTCTTGAAAAAGTCTTGACCTGTTTCCACATGTTCGTGCCCTCCAAGGATGGCAACCTGTGGGACTTTCTCGAAGCGGAAGAGCCACTCCCAGGCCGAACGTTTTGCAGATGCATGACAAGTTACAAAGGAGGTCTTCTGCATACTCAGGTGATCGTGCCAGGGGCTACTCTGCTACTTGCCTCATATACGTATGGTTGCATGCAGAGTTGTGGCCATGACAACGTGTCAGCAAAGCTTGATCGAAAGCTCGCACGATTGCACATGCAGTTTGAAAGTAGATCTGCAGCTAAAGCAAGCAAGACGAGGCCGTCGCCTTTGCTGATACCCTGTCAACTCCCGGGAGTCAGCTTCCGGTTTCATGCTTGCGGTCAAAGCGCAAGGAGTCGAGCAAGTCCACTGCAGATCTCTCCTCGAGGCGCGGAAAGCCACCCTGAACCACCCTGAACCCGCCAAAAAAGCGAAACAAAAAGCTAGTTTCTGAGGCCAGAAAAGCTACCGGACCCTTAAAGCGCGCGTGCGCCCCCCTCCTCCTTTAGCTTTTCTGCAGCTTTTTCTAGCTTTCGACTGCCTCCCTGAAGCTTTCTTGTAGCTTTTATGTAGCTTTTCAATAGCTTATTTTTAAACCAAGAATCCCAGGCCTCTCCAGGCACATGGCCGTCCTAAGACTATATGCTACAACGACTACTACGATGACGACGACGACTCCTACTACTGACTAACATGTTGCACGAAAGCAACAACGCGCGAAGAAACCACTTCCAGAAGAAGGAAAATTGATCAACGCTCATGTCTGCTCCAGCATGGTGCAACAGCCCTTTGCCTTCGCAGCTCTTGTGCGCTTCATTGCCTCGGCCAGGCGTCTTCCACAGTCTGAGGCTGAAACTTCCTCTTTCACTGCGGAAAGTTTTGTGGGAGAAGACTTGGCCAATGTGGCAGCCTTGGGCTGCCCGGCAACGAATTGCTGACTTGCTCACAGATCTGTTTTGCAAGACATACAGAGGGGCGGGTTGTCGAGGGACGAAGAAGGGAGAGTAGGGGTCTGCTCAGTCTGCTCTAGCCGTGGATTGAGGCCGCATACCTGCTGCTGTTTTTGCATCCATCAAGCACCCCGAGGTTCCAATGGTTGCGCGCTTCCCTTTCCGTGGGCCCTTTCGGAAAACACAACGAATCACGGGCCCCAAGTAAGGGGGAGATACTTCTTGGCTGTGGAAACCAGATTGATCCAGTTGGTACGATTCTGCTTTTTCAGAACTACCTCATCAGGATCAGGACCAAGTGCGCTGCGGCCCCTGCTCAAAAAAGAACTACCTCATCAAGTTCTCGCGAAAAGGTTCCATAACGAGCAAGCCACTGAAGAAGGGAAAAAGGCAAGAATTGCAGCAGATGAGTGAAGTCACAAAAACTTAAAATAAAAAACCGGGTTAACATCCCTGCCTGCCGTGTTGTAGCAGAGCTCAAAGACTTTGGTGCCGCGCCACATCCTACGGTTCGTTGCCTGGAAGGTCGCCTAGAGCACATTCTAAATCGTTTGAACAGATGGAGTGGCAGAGATATCAGAGATATCTGCCACATTGGGGCTGCAGCACAGTACTGAGACATTGCAAAGGGGAACTGTTCGCAGAGGCGGCTGAAGGTGGCTGAAGGGCACGGCCACGAGGCACAGATTTGCAGCCATGAATGAAATTTCGACGCTTGGTATACCAAGGGCGGAAGCACTCCTTAACTTCGTTCTCCAAAGCGGCTGCACAACAGGACAACTCAGAAAGCATCGTCAAATCGCTCACCGTGAAACATCACGCAAGGTCAGGAAAGTTGAAACACCAAGCCTGCCGAATCGAACACGACATGCAAAACAGATTGAAAGTCACGGAAGCTTTCCCCGATCTGTCGGAAAAGCCAGTTACCAATAACTCTCCAAAAATCCATGCCATCAAAGGTGCCATCTTTGCGATAGATGCAAGCGTAGTTTGATTTTTCTGCACACTCACGAGCTTTGCTGCTTCTTTGAATCCCGAGTTCCATCCAGAAACTTGTGGCACCGTGGCGGCTTAAATGTGCGTGTGCCTGTGTGTAGTTTTTGAATCTAACAGCACCGGATTGGTTGCGCATGGCCACTGGCTGGTGGGAGCAGGACATGAAGGGCCCCAGCTTTGGTGCCACTTTTGCCTGCCGAACGAAGGAGAGAAGAGAGTGATGTGTGGGTGCGGACGCGTGTGGCTGTAGGGAGTGTGTGTGTGTGTGCATGCAAGCGCGGGATCCAGTTCTGTAATTTCTCAATTGATCACGGAATGCTCGCTTCACTGCCGGGTGGTTGCGCCAACGGAGCTCAGGAGCTGAAGTGGAATTGGTTCGAGCAAAATGGACGGCAAGGAATTGGTCCGGCACTCGACTGCCGAAGGCTGCCTGTCATGTCACCGGCAAAATCCGATCATGTCTGAACCCTACCGAGGTCACGCTGTGGCCTGTCCTCAGTTTTCCTCCAGGACACAGCAACAGTGAGTGGACCACATGTACCCGGTTTCGACGCCTTGATCAGCAATGTTCTGCAGATGGCGGCAGCTCCGCACCATTGGTACAGGCATACAAGACGACGATTGTTTGTGTGTCCGAATCTGTGCTCTGCTATGAACCAAGGAAGACCTGGCTTGTCTGTTGGATGTTCGCAGGCCGCTGTCTCTCAGCATCCCTTGGTTGATAAGCTTGGGCCAGCATGCAACCATGTCTAGTTCCACAGTAGCTGAACATCTTTACCTCTGCCAGGACAATCCTCAGCCCATTGGAAGGCGTTTGCGTGCAGCTTGGAACGCTTCGATCACGGCGAGTTCTTCATTCAGCCCTTGCACGACTGATGTTGCATGTGGACCATTTTATCGACGCTCGCTTTAGTGGGTTTCGAGTACTGCCTTCTTCCAAGCGCCAGTGCTCCTGCTTTTTCAACTTAGGAAAGTCTGGTGCAATTCCACCAAATATTCGAAGGACGACTCTTCGATCAACTGAGGCCACTAGGGAAAGCCCCATGTCCCGTTCCTTCTTCCGCTGTTGCATTGAAGCTGTTTCTGAGTTTGAGAGCCGCGCTGCAGGAATCAGGAGGCACGCTCTGCAGATGCCTTCGCTCAGCGGCCGGAGGTGCAAAGGAGCTACCGCCGCTACTATCAGCGACATGGCGCACTCCATGGCAGAGTGTTTCCTGCGCCATCTCACGTCGTATATACCCTGTGGCAGAAAGCACTGGATCTCATGTCTCAGGCGGGCGCTGACTCTTCGACGTGAGATTGCAAAGAAGGTGCGCAACGCCCAAGGAATTTGGCCTAACCATCATGCAATCGGAAGTCGAAGGTTGATGCTCAATCACTGCAAGTCAAAGCTGGACACGAGCAGAGAAAGCCACTCCTCCCTGAATATGTGGCTCACAGTTACCCGATGCTGACACAGCACAGCTACTGCTTGTTCCAGGCCAGAAACAACGCAAGACCTCACTCGGCTGTTCAGGCGCAGATGCTGTCAGAGGCGATGCCGCTGCAATCCAGCGAGGACGAGCAGTGCAGCGCTCCATCTGCAGAAGCTTGTGCATGGTACCTCTGCACTGCTACTGCGGTAGAAATGTGTGGATTCTGGGCGTGCTGTGACCGAAGCCATGCTATGCCTCAGTCAGAGGCATCGACAAGCTCAAGAGCTCCATGAATGCATCTTGCCTCAAAGTGCTGAGCGTGTTCACATAGTAGTGACATTTCGCTGCCCGAGGCCCTGGCAAATGCTCTCAGCACCGGGCCAAATCAGCTTCTTGCCTTAGCAGATGCTCGACATGCCTTGGCCGTGACTGACGGGCATCGAATCCCTGTCACCTTCGGCCACGAGACGGACCACAACCTCAACCACTCGCGAGTTACAAGTCCGAACTTAAGGCGTCAAACGATCAACAGCGTGAGCCCGGTGCTTGTTGACTGACTCTGACAGTGCGCGGCTCGACAAGATGTGCCGATGGGGGCGTGTTTTCTCGCTGGCAAAGCTCCCAGCGTCTCCTCTCGAAGAGAGCTCACAAAAAGCGCCACCAATTACTCTGGGCGGTCCAATGCTCAAACATGACCCGAAAGGGACTGGGACATGACGGGACATGGTGACCGAGCGCTGTCGTCCCGGCTCGGCCAAAACCTGGCCTTTGCGTCGCTGCCTGCACAGCAAGCGAGACGAGGGAAGCAGTAGTAGGCTTGGCAACCGTGCGAAATGCAGAACAACATGTTGTGAAAGCAGCATCAGTAGCAGCAGAGCTTTCCCATCTCCAAGGCCGAAGAAATGCGAGCTGTAACATATGCGAAACAAACAAGACAGGGCCCTGTGCGCACAGTTTGCAACGACAACGCCGCCTTGCTGGCTGCAGGGAATCGGCGCTTCAAGCGGAGGAACCTGGACTGCAAACCTCGGGGAACACGTTCAAAAGCCAAGATCCGGGCGGGGCTCTGGCAGGGCAAGCATGGCTTTCAATATCGGGGCCTGCTTTGCAGAGCAGCGGAGCAGCGGCGGGTGCAAGAGAGACCCGTCATTGCAGAGGGATATCCAACTCGGGGGACTCGACGAGGAAGCCCAAAATTGGTTGGATATGAGGAGCCACGGGATGGTAGCAGAGTTGCACGATTTCGATTACGGAGTATCAGACTTTAGGGGCCCATTCTGATCTTATAGCCCGGACGGCCTGGCCCTGCGACGTGCTCTCCAGAGATATTTTTCCCGGCTGTGTCGGGTTTTTCCTGCTCAACACTGTAGACATTTGCTTGTAGCTGCAAGTGGGCAGCGTCTCGTGCAACCTGAGCGTGCTTCGCCTGCAGCCTTGAACAATCCCTTTGCTTGCTGCCTTGCTTTGGCACAATTTTCTCCTGCCTCTGAGGCGGGCTTATGCATCAAGAAGGACTGAGAAGAAGCGATCTGCCCGTACTGGCCAATCGGACATGCCTGTCACAGGACCTGTGAGTCAACATGCAGATCCAAAAGCCGTGCTCGCGAAGCAGTGCTCCGAGGGACCACGAACTCCCACAGAGGACCTTTCAAAGACCCCACTCTTCGTGCCTCGCCGATCCATTGACGGAGTGCTTTTTGCCAGCTGCTATCTCCCGCTCCCCGCAGCCTGAACCGTGCACAGTTGCTGTTGAATTCGAGGCGCCGTGCGGCACCAGCTTCGTCTCAGAAATAGTGCTGGTTGCACAGCCGGAGACATATCAACCTGGTGAGATGCTTGGCCAGCACTAGCACTGTTGCGTGACACCAATCCGGAGAATGCATTTGGCCTTCCAAAGACGAGCGACCTACGTAGGTTGAGACTCTTTATGCTCGGGACGGCACTGTTTGTAATTCGCAAGAGAGAGAACAAGAAGGCACGGCAAAGGCTTGAAGACTTCTTTCTGCTAAAGGTTCACCTCTCTCGAGCGCCCGACGGCTCCCACTCGATGCTCACATAGGACCCAAGAAACGACGCCTCCTTGTTAGTCATTGTAATCGCACGCACAAGTCACTCATGGAAGTATCCGTTGGCATGCTTGCCAAAATTTTGGAAACTCACGATCCCTCTGTCCATGGCAATCTTTCCAGAATGAAGGCCTGCCTCTGTTCCCGGGTCGGATCACTAGGGTCGCTAGGGCCCGCTAAGGTTTACCAGCTGTTCGAGGTATCGTGCACCCGTGGCACAGACAATTGAGGCGGCCCATAGCACAGATCATTAATGCCGAAGTTGTCGGCGATGTATCGAGACACATTCCACACTCTGGCTTTGACTAGCTCACTTTGTTTTGGTTACCTCTGGACCAGCAGTGGTGATCTGAGACTGAGGCAAAGGCGCAAAACCTAGCAGCCTCGCTCTTCAGTGGATACAGTAGTTGTGGCTTTGCCGAGCCCAGGAGCATTTGGGTCCAAGGAGAAGAGTGCAAGAAGCCGCTCTGCTGGGTTTGACAGCGCCAAGATTGATAGGGCAACGTAGCGATCCGCTCAGGGTCTATATCTTGAAATCCGGGGAGGTGGAGCTCATCCAAGAGGATCACACGGTACTCCACACATGGAGTGCAGGAACCATGCTGGGCTTGTGCATCTTGCTGAATGTCCATCATCGTCTTCGTACGGCACAAGCGGCCACTGTGTGCGAGTGCTTGGCCTTGCCATCTACCTCGTTACTTGCTGCAGCCTCGCCTGATGTTGTAACAAAGCCGCTGCATTTTCTCGACGCTTTCTAGGCCACAGCCCCTGCATTTTGGCGCTCGTCGGTTTTGGAACCTTCGAGGGGATTCGTAGCAACATGAAGGGTCGCCCCTATGCCTGGTGTCACGGTTGTCTCAAGTTGAGATGGAAGGAAGCAGAGAGCGGCATAGTGCCAGAGCAAGGAGTGAAAAAGAGAACAGACTGCTAAAGGCGGCTCCTGGAGGCCTCCAAGCCTTTAAGCCTCCACCTTTAAGGCCCAGGCCCGCTGCTTCGCTGGGACTTGCTCGTGTTTGCGGTGCATGCCAGACGAACGCACCAGCAGGCAAGCTCCAATGTTTTAAATTAAAGCTATGCGAGGCGGAACCTTACAGTAGCGACAGCATCATTCGATTCGCAATTTGCGCCGGGCTGCGCACTTCTTTTGTTGGCCTCACAGGCTCGGTTGACTCAGGCAAGACAAAACCGATCAATGGCTTGTGCACGTGTGTATGGGCGAAAGCGAGAGACAACCGAGATAACCACACTGAACGGTTAATGTTTAGTTAGCAAAAGGCTGCCGCCAAGCCTCAGGCGCCCTGGAGTCTTAAACGGCACTAGCGTGTTCCTGACAAGTGCCAGCTCTTTTCGCTGCAAAGGTTCCATGCCATATTGAAGCAGCATCCAGCAGAGAAGAAGCACTTCCTGGAGGCGGCGCAAGCCGAAGCCAAGGGCATACTTGGAGATCGGCAGCTGTTTGGCCCAATTCGACAGGGCGAGTCTTACCTAGGAGGCTAATCTCAGTGCAACTGCGCCGGCATGGTGACTAGCGGTTCCAACATTCCTGATGTAGGCCCCTGTCGCCTTCTGAAGCCCGTGTAGTTGCTGCTAAGGTTCGAGTGCTTGGTTGGAGAAGTGCCGAAAAGTCCACCGAAGTCTGTGCACAGAAAGGGGGCATTCCACAGAAAGTCTCATAATGCGGGTCACGACGACAAGCTCGACAAGTCTCCGAAGAAATCAAAGGCATTGGAAAAGCTGCCGACCATTGAGCCAGTCACAAAGCCCTTCTCTTCCTCGAAGTTAGTCCCATCCAGTCTGCCGATAAGCAGCAGATTTCGGCGGCCGTCGTGGTCGAAGCGATGTGCCTCCATGCTGGATGATGACAGTGGCTCTGACACAGAGCTGAACGCAGTAAGTGCTCAGTTCTCAGAACGCCAGATTAGCACGCAGAGTTCTCCAGACGTCGTGGTTTGGTCTCGAAGCTCAACGGCGCCGACTTTTCCTCATGCCTTGCTGACCCCGGATCATAGTGGCACAGGCACAGGCAGTCACCTCCTGGTGCCACGGCCGCCTGCCTCGTCAAACGCATCTCGAGAAAACTCCCCCACCCCATCAGCGGCCAGCAAATCTACATGCCCAGAGCCTGCCGATGATATAAGTCCTGCTTCCAAGAAAGCTACATATTGGAGACTCGGCTCACAAGTGCTGATATTGTGGTGCTGAAACCAACTGAGTAGTGCAATGTACATGACTCCCTCGCCCCCCGCACATATGCTGCGACTTCTCGAGGTGCGATGTCATAAAGGACTGGTTCGGGTGCCTGGACACAGATGGTAGCGGCCGCATTGACCGGGAAGAGTTCAAGAATATTGCAAAAAACCTTTCTGCAGCTTTTGCTTGGGATGACCATCAGTCCGCCCTTCTGCTTCAGGAAATTGACACCAACAGCGATGAGCAAGTAGATTTGCCTGAGTTTGCAGGCTGGCTCACTAATGTCCACGCCACCATGACTTTCAGTCCAGAAGGCTGGCTCCAAACGTATGACTTGGGAGACACGCTCCAGCCATTGTACGAGTGCTACGACCCTGATCGCAGTGGCATCTCGAAGGACCAGTTCCTCCGCACCTACCGCATCATTGCTAATGCCTTGAAGCATACGCCGGTAGCTTTGCAGAAGAAGGCGGACGTGTGGGTACGAGCTGCGGAAGAAGAGTATGAGAACTTGAACGACGATGGGAAAGACATGTTGATCGAAATCGACGACTTCATCCAGTGGCAAGCCCAACTGCTGAAACATTCTGGAATACCAAACTCTGTACTGCCGGAGAAGGTAGCTGGGCTTGCCCGGGCATTGAAGGCAGGATCTGGTTTAAAGAGGCGTTGGTTTCAAGATGTTTTCAAGCCACCGGTACCCGAAGTCCGAAACAAAAGCATACGTGGCGCCGCAGGTCATCAACGATTTGGACAAGAAGTCGACTGTGGCAGATGACAAAGATGAAGCTGTTCTCAGCAAATCAATCCAGAAAGTTGCCACCTTAGCAAGGGAGCTGTACCTTCCCTGCAGCCAGCAGCTTCGCAAGCTGTTGGAAGCGAACAACCACGAAAGAAAGGCGCCAATGTGTAGTGTGATAGTGTTTTTTTCTGAATCCTCGCACGTGCCAAAGTGGCAGGAAGAACCTTGCGATGAAAACTATAAGTGGGAGAACCCACCTGACGGTGCGGTCAATCGACTCCGCCGGGACTGTTGCTTTCACCGAACCTATTCGCATGTGGCTGTGTACAAGCACTTCTGTTGCACGGGTAGTGGGCGAGGAAGTTTGTCGCAGGACTGTGCCATCAACCTGGGTGTCCTCCTGCCTGGCATCTTGCCTCACAAGAGTGGGGAGACTTCCAAGAGCGACGTTTGGAGATTTGCCCGGCGAAATTCGCACATGCGCAATCGCCAGGGCCTCAATGTCGTTGGAGGTCTGGTGTCTGTGTTGCAAGAGCAAGCATGATAGGACAGGTGCTGCTTGCAGTAGACGTCTGAATCGACATGAGCAGCCATCGCATGCAGCAGTTCGGGGCCTGCTGCAGTTTCGGTTCGACCGGCCCAACAGGAAAAGGGAAGTCGCTGCCTCAAGCGCCAGTAGTAGGGATGGCCATGTCCAGCATGAACCGCCGCCTTATGGTCGCGAAGCTTGCAATTGCTTTGCTCGCAGTGCGTGTTCTCATGCCTTCCTTCGTTTCCCCGAGTGGCCCAAGTATCCATGCGCAAAGCCCAAGAAGGCAGCTGACAGCTGTGAGGGCTGAGGGAGAGGCAGAAGAAGACGGAGACATGCTTGAATTCCTCAAGGTTGAGCAGGACATTGAGCTGTCTCCTGAGGAGTACAAGATGGCTTTGGAGGCTGAGGTCGAAACCCAAAGGAAGAAGTACTACATTGGGGGTGTTGTTGATCCGAAGAATTTGGTCGTGCCGTGGAAGCCTGTCGACGAGGATGTGCTGGTGAAGGATGCCAGGAGGACCCTGAAGAAGAACGGGATCAGGGACCCTGCCGGTGGCGACGTGGACACCGAGTACGACGACAGCGAGATGGAGCTCACCCTGATCGACGACGACGTCAATCTGCAGTGGGCAGGCGGTGTTCCTGGCACCAAGGTAGGTTACATCATCGAGAGGAAACCAGCAGGCAGCACGAATTTCGAGGAGATTGCCACCTACGACAACATGAAAAACCCCCAGCTCCTGGCCAAGCCATACAGCGGGCATGAGTATACCTTCACCGACTCCATGGTCGCACCCGGCAAGTACACTTACCGCCTGCTTTGCCGTTCTCGTGATGGCTCCATTGATGTAGTGGACCAAAAGGAGCTGCTTGTAGCCGACGCCCCTGGAGTTGACTTGAAGATCGCCTTCCCAGTTCTGGGCGCCTTTGTACTCTTCAGTGCCCTCTATGGCTTCAGCTTGGACCCGGGAGCTCAGCCCTAAATCAAAATGACATCACCATTTGAAGCTTGTTTCGTGGACTTATCCGCCCCATATCAACACTAGCTCGCATGGCCTGTGGCAAATAGAAGACAACCATTTTCTCCTCTCTGCTGAGACGAAAAATGGAGGTGATTGCACCTGCAGGCTCAGTGTAGAGATTCGGCGCCTGACACCACAATCGCCAGACGGATGCTGCACGCTGATCCCCCTCGTGTTCTGAGGTATGAACACCCCCGTGCTTGGCGAGTTACTGCTTTGTGGCTTGCCGGCAACCGGGAAAGATGTCATGACCATTGTAACTGACTTCATGGGAGAACCCGTGGATGACACTTTTTGATGTTGTAGATGCTTCATGTCTGGATCCGAAAAACCCAAGACTAGCAGACGATGCGCTGAGGCTTTCATTCATCTGCCGGAAGCTTGGGCAAAACCGACCGTTTTTTCGCTTGGTTGGAGGCGTGCACCAGCCAATCGTTATCTTTCCCATGAAAGCACCAGTGCCTCTCACAAGAATTTTAGTGGCACCTCGCACTCATTTTCCACCTCTAAGCTCCACGCCTCAGCTCTAGTGTAGCTCCAAGCCTAAGCTCTAGTGCAAGGTTTCCTGATGCGTCTAGAGTCTCCGAAACGTCCCCGACAGGCTCCTCGCAAAAGCGAGTCTGATCGGAGTCTTGGCCGAAGCTTCCGTGCCGAGCCGCCATGCGAAAAGCTACAGGGATTGCTGCTCTGGCAACTTCTACCTATCAATCCTTGCTTGCGATTTGCAGACAAACTATGAAGTGTAATCCATGGTTTGGGAAGTCTCATCGATTAAGTCGGAAAAAGCCTGGGACACTAAGACTTTCAGTCACTAAGAGCCTTGCCTTATGCGGAAGCTATAATTCGCGAGTTGCAAGCAGCGCCGATTGGCATGCACGTGGCGGTGCAGGAAAATGTACTACGAGCTAGTGCCACGTGATGATGGATGTGGGAATGCTCTGGAGCCGGGCCCTTGTCAGCAAGGAGGAACGGAGGAAGATCTCTAGTGACTAAGGCCGGAGTGGCAACGGCTTCCGGACGGTGCTCCCTTTCATGCAGAGCTCGAGCGTCTCCCGAAGGAGCAGGTGATACTGGCGATCCTCAAAACCCAGGACCGGACGGGAGACGAAAGAGACGCGTTGCCTGCAAAACCTGCGACAGGAGCTGGCCCACGAGCAGCTGCAGTGGCCGCAAGTGCAGAGAAGTTTAGGCCGTTCTGTTGACCAGACTGCATGCGAAGACTGGATGAGACACATGGTGACAGGCCTAGCAGAGTGCTTGGAGCTCGTGATGCATGAAGACGTGGAGCAGGTCAGCAAAGTGATCCACACGAGACTTGGTTTCAGACAAATCCCCCTGGTGATGTGTTCGAAAGACCCGCCCTTCATCAGCCAGCTCTGCCACAAAGGTTCGCACGGCAACATGTTATGCAGCAGCCATGGCATCGTGAGCAGCTGGACATCGGCTTGCTCATTCGGACGGTTTGTTTCGCAGCGAGTGTCACTGTGCCACGCGCCCCATAATGCCTTTTGCAGGAAATGGGTATGACGATCAGTGATATTGTCGATGAACACTTGCAGGCGGCGAGCTGCCTTCCGAGTTGACCAGTACAACAGATTGTCATGAAACCGTGAATTAGATGACAGCTGCGTCTTGGCAGGAGGCAGTTTTCTCGCCAGAGGAAGTTGGATGCCCAATGTCAAACCTGGCTTCGTCTTAGCTTCATGCACTTGACATGATTGATTGTGTTCCGCCGAGGTGCTGCATTTGCTGTTGAACCAGGAGAAGATGGCAGATCCACAGCCCGAGCCGAAAAACAAGCTCGTGGCCACGCTGTCCAAGATGTTTTCGAAGAATCTCTCGGAAGCTTAGAAAAATTCTGACTTCAGCTCTGAAGCCGTCTCGCGTGCTACGTGCGCCTGACAGGCAAGAGCAGTTACGCATACTTTCAACTGGTTTGTCTTTGAAGGCAGACGTGTTTTGCAATCAGCCCAGCTGATTATGCAATGCTTTGTATAAGTAGGTTTAATTATGCTTTCCACGTTTGAAATTTATTGTGGAAACCCACCACGACGCCACAAGACGCTCGTGTTGCATGGTTCGTGGTGCGGCTCTGCTGAAGGGGACTGCCTAATTGTCGTTTTTTGACACAGCCGACGTGCATGGTACATGCGAGGCTGACGACACGGAGCAGCATGCCAGAGGCATGTGACCCACTATCGGCAGCATTTGTTTCAAGAGACTTCAGGATCCTGCAGTCATTTGCATCCTAGCAATGCCTAGCAAGGACATGTGTAAAGCGAGCTGGCAGGGAGCAAGTGACAGCGGCACAAGCTATGTGTTTTGCAGTGGTACAGACATTCACAGCCCTTTCAGTGGCGAGATGCTGTCATGGCCCGTGTAGTCGACGTGCAGCATCAACCAAGTTGATGCATGCATGACCTGCCCGATACTGACACGGCAGTGCGAGTGTGGGCGTGATGACAGCTAGATTGCTGAGCCATTGAGCTTGGGGCTTTTCAAGCAGATGTTGAGAAGCCTGAAAAAAATCGCAGGCAACAAGCCCCAGAAGCCGGCTAGCTTCACGTGAGAGGGCCAGTCCGCCTAAAAGCAAGCCAACTCATGTCCAGCACTCAGGCTCAAGCCGTCATGATCCGTCATGCTGGAACCCCTAGCACAGAGCTTGGGGCTTGGCCTGAAGACTAGAGCCGTTTGTGGTTCTCCCGATATTCAGATGTGCTCATAGGGCGGGATTGTCTTTTGACAATCCTACTAAGCTGGCTTGTGTTGTTTTGCACGTGTGCAAAGAGTGACAAGCCTACGTAGTGTTCGGTCTTTGTACTTAAGAAGCGCCGAGCGCGAGTTCAGTTCCTTTTGTTTGCTTTTGTTCGAGTCCGTTACAGCCGAAGCTTGCGAAGGCCCGAAGCCATGGCCGGTTCGCAGAGTGAGCGTTTGGATTCCCTGTGGGCGGCCTTGCACACGGTCGCGGAAGCTTCTCAGGAAGACATCGAGTTTCTCATGGTTCGCTGGACCGACGAGGACTTTACAGGTGAGTGTGCGCATGTGGCTTTGCGGCAGTCCATGGCGGACGTTATGGTCGCTGTGCAGGGCCAGGCAGCTGGCCCCAAGGCATCCCGAACTAGAAGCGCAGCCTAGCCAGGCCGCCGGACAAAGGCCGCGGTGGATGCAATGACGGTGGGGTCCTCTTCGAGTGGCGGGGCTGATCCGAGCACAGGTCCCCCCACATGCAGGTGAAGCCGGTGGCCAAGACGAAGCCAGGTTCGCAAGGGAAACCACTGAGCTCTCCTCCACCCTTTGCCGCCTCCAAGTGTCGCTCCCAAGACTACCCCCAAGGCACCGACAAGGAAGTGTCCGCCCAAGGACCCGTCGTCTTCTACGACACCGGCGACTCCTACAGCACCTATGTCCGCTGATGATGCGATCGCCTGCCCGCCGTGGTCAGAATCCACCTAAGAAGGCCATGCCCAAGCAGCCCGCACCCTCCCGTGGCAACCACCGAGGCAAAGGCCACTTCTTCGTCTACTCCAAGGCGGGTTCGCAGCAAGGGTCGCAGACAGCGGAAAGCAGCACGGCAGCGCTTGCAGCTGCTATCGCGCCCGCCTGGACCAGAGTGACGAGGTCTGACCAGTGGCACGGGAGGATGGCCATGCCAGCACCTGTACCGCTGTCTGCTGTACAAGAATCCACAGGCCAACAGGCGGAGGTTCAACTCCTATAAGGCGGTGACAAGTGGCCGTTGGGTGGGCAGTCAGAGGTGTCTGGAGCTGTTGTTTCTTCAACGATTCCCAATCCGATTGGGTTAGCTACCGAGCATATCCGTCCTGGATCTTGTTCTTTGGGGCTGTGAAGTTGGTTGTGAGCATTGACAGCCTCAACAGGGGCAATTCAACAAACATGTTGCCAGCAGGCATGGCCCAGAACTCTTCCCCGACGTTGTAGTTGTCGCCGAACTCTTTCGTGAAGATTCCGAGAAACTTCGCGAGAGCCCCTTTGTTGCTGTAGTAGGGTTCAAGCCACTGGGCGATGCCGGCGGCACAGTCCGGCGTGACAAGCTTCAGCTGCCAAAGCCTTGAAGTCAGGCTGCTGGATGCCTGAAGCGAGATCCAAGATGTGCAAAGCCATTTCCGGACTGAGCCTGAAAGGCTGGGTCACTGGAGTTCAGAGCTCGCTCCGCAAGCTTTGGAAATTCCGGAGAGCATTCCTCTCAAAGAGACGATGACCCACGACCAGCCTAGCGACATTAAGTCCCGAAGGACCGAGTCGTTCCCGCACAACACCCCCTTGCTTAAGTAGCCGTTCGTGGCCAGCGAAACCTCACTGGTGCGGCAGCCAGCCCAGCGGGCTTTGAGAAACTGTGTCGTATGTCCTGAGCTGATCGTGAGGTATCGCTCCGTCCAGTTCAGAGGAACTAGCAAGCTGCCGGCTTGTTTGACCAGATTCTGATTGAAGGCGACCTGTCTCGTCCGAAATCGAGATTCTCAGAGAGCCGGCAGCCTCAGGTGCGAACATGCATTGTCCACTCTATTATTATAAACTTATTCAGATCACTCTCGGCGGCAAGCACTGGAGTGTAGGCTGCTTTCGAATGGCACTTGTGCCCATTGACCGCCAAACCGGACCGGTTCAATTGATGCACAAGTAATATACTGGGCTCCAAGGTAGCTCTCCAGGCAGGGTTGTGCTGGAGAAGGAGGTCGGGAATTGCCTTCCACTGGGTCACCCGGGGCATGTTCTTTGCAAGGATCTCGTCCATCTCGTGCTTCACACTCGGGGGCACTTCCATGGTTGCAGGACTGGGAAAGCCTAAGCACTTTGTGCAACAGGAAACCTAAAGCACAAGCTTGCCGGCAAAAACAACGCCATCTGCAAAAATCTCAATGCCAGGAGGCATGCTGCCTGTGCAATCAGCACAGCCAACGGCTGATTGGAACTTCCACTTTCGAAAGCCGAGGGCTTGTCATTTCTGCAAACAGCCCGCCGGCTGATCAACAAAGTTTGTTATAACATACAGCTGTACCTGCATTTGCGGAGTCGCCAGACGCTGCCACGTGGGTGCCAAAAAATAACATACAGCTTGTCATTTCTGCAATCAAAAAACTCTTGAGCTGATCAGCCAAATCTAGAAGCCGAATAGCTGGTCATTTCTGTAGAAGAAGCCTGTGGGCTGACCGGTACAGTACCATACTCCAATTTCAAAATCAAAGATTTCAGCAATGAGAAATGTAAAACCGATCATTTTGCCGACTTCTAACCACTTAGCTAACTGGTTGGGAAGTACGTTCATAAGTGGCTATAAAAAGACTAACTGGTTGAGTGGGCTTGCTTAAAAGCTTAGCTAAGTGATTGCAGCTGCCATCACAACATCAATAAGATTCAATAGCTTTTATAAACGATATGATGGTTTAGTATCCAATATGGTAACTAGCACCAAGAGTTGCTATCCCATGAATGTAGTTATTACATGTTACCAAGACATGTAATGGTTTGCAACCATATATAACCACCTGCTACATAACTTGCAATGCTCTACCAGAACTTAGCAAGTGCTTATCATACGCATATTTTAGCCATATCTTGAAGCACCCCCCCCCCCCGGTTCATCCAAGCAAGACGAGTGGCTTAGAAAAGCACCGCAACACGTTCAGGAGGTTTGCAGACAAGGCAACACGTGGTCAGTGACCGAAAAGCCTCACCTTGGCTCTCGGGTTGGATAGAAAATTCCGCTGCCCGAGTGAGAAGCGAATACTTTCGCTGTTCATAACGAAGTCCGGGTAGTGTTCGTTCTTTGTACTTAAGAAGCGCCGAGCGCGAGTTCAGTTCCTTTTGTTCGGTTCTGTTTGGGTCGGGTCCGTTACAGCCGAAGCTTGCAAAGACCCAGGCCAGGGCCCGAGGAGTTTTTACAGCACCCACCAATGCCGCTTGTGAGCCGCGCTGTTCGTATGGAACGGAAAGCCGCGCACTGGACGCCGAGTGTCCCAGATTGCAGACCGAGAAACCGCACCTCGGCTCTCGGGTTGGAGAGGAAAGTCCGCAGCCCGAGTGAGAAGCGAATATATTCGCTGTTCGTAACGAAGTCCGGCTTGTCATCGAGGCTACATCAGGCTAAGGTATAAGGGTTGAAAGTATACTTGCTGCCCGGAGCTCGAAGATCACGGAAGCCGCGGCGTCATGCTTCAGAAGCCTGCAGTCAGCTTCTGCCAACACCTACGTAATATATGCTCGAGTTTTCCAGCTCTGATTTTCTACTTTGCACCCCATCCTCTGGTATATTAGCAACTGCACGCAGTCATGCACATCGGTCACGACTAGCTTCGTTGGTTTCAGCGCTCGAGCCGATGGAGCACGCTGCCGGTGGATGCATTCAAGCAGGTGGCAGCAGATGTGTCAGATGTTGTGGGTATCGCCATTGTGTTGCATCAGGGCAACCAGACACAACGGAAGCCCCAGCATTGCAACAAATGTCGAACCTCGATGTGGACAGGAGCTTCATGGGCCGAACCGGCCAAATCAAAACTCCATAGTGTGTGATACCAGGAGATCCACGTTGAGGTGCAAGCGCCAAAAGCTCTGTCGAGGTGCGGCACATGGCATGACGGTGGTAATTTCAGTTGCCTGGACATCTCCATGCTCTTTCTGTGTGATTATTTAAAGATAGTTAAAGTTTGAAGTAAAAAGCTTTTGCCGGGCATAAACTTGCGCAAGTACTGTGAAACTACTGTGAGTATGGCATGTCAGCGATGTGTTTGTGGATGCAGCCTTGTATCGAAGGTCTTGCCGGCCAAAGTATGCGCCCGTCGAAAAAGTGGTGGAGGCAGGCTGCGACTTGCTACTGACGCTAGGGGGTGCAGCAGTGCCGCACTGCCGTTCTTGGTTTTGCGGTGGCTGGGATGGGGTGGCTGGGGTGGGAATGGCTTGTCAGTCGCATAGAGCCCAAGGCCGGCAACAAACCAGGAGCAAGGCAAGATAGAGACCACTGGTGGACAAGAGTCGCGAGAGACATGCAGAAGTAGCTTTCGCTTGCACTATTGCTCTTTCTGCAGCAGAGACCCTGGGTTGCAGGGTGTCATGAGAAGTTCTCAGAGTCTAACCCCTGTCCTGCAGGCCAATGTGGTCCTCTATAGCAAACTCATCTCGTCACTCACTGCCGTCGACTGGAAGGCAGCTCTCCAAAGCTGGGAAAATTTACTTCTCGCCGGACTTCAGATGCTTGGCTTCAGAAGCACATTGCAGTTGTTGGTACCGGCAGTTCTACACTTTTGAATCTGTATCCCTAGCGGCCGTGCGACTCGTACCACCAAAGTTGCCGCTCTCAGGGGGCGCAAGGCTATATCAAGCTGAATGTCATGAGCCCGATGTATCCCGATGTCAAATCAACGTAAATCCAGCTGCACTCCGAAGGCGGACCCGCCGTCCACAACAGTAAACCGCCTGGGGACAGGAAATGCTGTGAATCTGCCCAAATCTTGACTCACTGTTGCATGGCACCAAGGAGCGACACGGTCGTGTGTGGCGCGGTAACAAACGCAAGTCGGCGCGGTCCATGGCAGCTGGCCATTCTTCTACATGGCATGCCGGGCCTTCAACAAATCGTTGAATACCGTTGCATGTTGGGTGTGTGCTGGGCCTACTGCAGGTCATCTCGTCAGGTTCGTGTGAACGAGGCAAGCTGCGACTGCTTCAGTATGCATCCTGTCGCATCGTCAAACTCTCTGCGAGGTGACTTTTGGCGCGGCTGTTACCGCGTGTGACCAGCCAGGATGGCCTTCGGGTCTTGAGATTCTGCGAGATTTGAGCAGCAAGAAGGCATCAGATTTGTGGGCTGCAGCATGTTGCACTTATGTGAACGTTCAATATCCGCGGCATGTTGCGCAGGTCCGATCCAACCAGCTGATTACCAGCAGTGTCATTACAGGTAGCAGACGCAACTGGACGCTCGTGCTCCAGCTGTGGTCTCTGCTGCAGCGCGATGTGATCCGGCCTGTTTGGTCAAGGGAAATAGTGGCCAACCACAATTGTGACGGAGAGCGAGAGGGAAGTGCAGTGCTCTGAGGCTACTCCTGATCAATTTTGCTTGTGTTCCACCACAAGTTCTTTGCAAGCGACGGACCAATGGCGACGAGCATTCTTCCTGCTGCTTGCTTGCCCACTGAAGTGCCACACTTACACACTCTTTGGCCGAGCTGGTTTAATAAGGTTGACCAAAGCTCGGGTCACATTGATTGAACTTGGAGTGTTCTGAAGCTCGGCAGCAAGTCCAGTTGGCCGGTGGAGTGACAACCTGGTTGAACTATGTCAGAGGCTTCAATAGCGCAATGAGCTGTGCAGAGCTGTCGGCCTGGCCATCTACGTTGGGGCTGCTAGCTGAATTGCAGCTTCGAAGACTGACCAATACCGTGAGCTACAACTGTGGAATTACTTCGCTACCAGACGCCTTGGCCTCAGTATAGCCCACCCGAAGCAGAGGGAAGTAGTGACCCTTGCTCTTTGCAGGCAAGCCATTGGAAGGCTGCTTTTGGCCTGTGCAGGCATATTCGGGAAGCGGGTCTTTGGGAAAATGAAGCAACCTACGTGCTCGCTTGTGGTTCCTGCGGGCCACTCTGGCAAAGTGCGTTGGCCTTCGTGTCGACCGAGAAAGGCACAACGCGAAGCTTGAGTTCGGTACTGAAGGCCTGCGAGATGGCCGCGGAATGGACCCAAGCTCTAAGGATGCTCGATTCCTTTGACAAATATGGTATTTCCACGACGCAGGTCACAATCAACACAGCAGTGAGTGCATGTCAAGAGCACTCCGTGTGGCCACGGGCTCTGCATTTGTTGTGCACTTGCTCTCAAAATGAGGCCAGGAGATTGATGAGATTGCAGCAAAATGTTTATTAGTTTACTATGATGTTCTTACTGTCTTACTGTTTGAGAGCGGCAAGGCGGCAGATGTCGTTACTTGGAGTGCAACACAGGCGGCATGTAGACTGCAGTGGACTATGGCCACGCTGCTCATGACAAGGTGGGACGATTTCTGTTGCATGGTTTCCTTGGCTGATGCTGTGACTCACGCTGTTACGCAGTTGCCGGAGGATGGGAGATCATGCAGTGCGTGCTGGAGCATTGAGTTACGATGCAGCCGTTGCTTCCTGGACACATGGAAGCCACTGGCACATGGCCCATATCCTTCTTCGCAGGCGCGCTCAAGCTCTAGGTTTCTGCAAAAATACAGACACTGCTTCTGCCAGGATGACATCCAGGAGAGTGACAGTCTTGCCAGCCACGGCTTATGCTGGAGTTCGCGCAGCAGAGCTGGCCAACGCTCAAGCTCCGCCATGGTTTTTAAGTCTACATGCTCACAGTTGATAGCGGGTAAGCAGGATAGGTGGTCCAGAACATGTAGAAGCACGCCGCAAGATCATTTGTGGCAAGTAGTATATCAAAAACTTGCGAAGCAAGTTACCGAGATAGTATACTGTTTCTCCTGAGCTGGATTCGTACATGCAGGTGCCCCGGGCTCAGTCCAAGCTTGCGGCAGTTGCGCAGGCCCTGAGAAAAAATGGTTCCTCCTATCTTGAGTGGTGGGGCGGCCGATCATTCGGAATGGAACGTCTCGGCAGCTCACGCAAGCGCTGTTCGCTCAAACTTGTTTGAGGCTTCTCACTGCGGACAACGGCGGCAGCCAAGCTAGACAGGCGGCAAGACTGACAGTAACACCTAGCCACAGACACCTGATGCATGCTGCAGATTGCTTGTTAGCATACAAGTGCAATCGCCTCGAATTACAAGAACACGCCACCTAGTCGCTCGGTCTACTTACTCTGCTTGGAGTGGCAATGGAAGTTTGCATCACCACCCTCAGTGGTGAAAGTTATCAACTGCAAGCAGATCCCACCTGGGCATCGCGTGACCTGAAGATGGCTGTCAAGACCGCTTCAGGCTGGGATTGCCAACTGCTTGTGTACACTAATGTGAGTCGGTGGCTATTGAACTAGTAGAAATCATGTTCATGTTCCGCCACTGTAAGCAGACAAATTGGGAGAGAGCACCTAACAGTCCAAGCCTTAATTACCCAAGAAGCAAGGCCTGCTCATGCGTCCACAATTCCTGCCATATGGTGGGGGCACGACTGGCACCACAGACTGCACATACACTCAGCACTGTGTGGCAGGGACGCGTTTTTTCAGGCATAAACACGAGATGCAGCAAACTATATTATAGGACATTACATGCCCAATAAATACAAAATAGAAACTATACATATTTCTTATACAGCACATCTTTCATTGTACATGCATATGCCTTCGGACTGGCTCCGGACAAACCAAGAAGCATATCAACCCTCCAGCTAGCCCATCCATTTGTTAAAAAACCTAGAACTCACGTCCTCGGCCTTGATTTTATAACCCCGAAAAGTCCTGGGCCCGAAGCCCTGTCCGCTCGGGTCTACCCTAAACAGCAGTCGGGCAGGTGGCGCTGGCACTCCGATTCCTGTTATCACATATTTACGTACGTACGTACATATTCACATGCATACACACACAGGGAGGATGCACGCCCCGAAATACGCACGGTACTGTGACGGGAGCGGGAGCGCACCTGCGATTGTTGCTTTGCCAAATTCCTTAAAAATCTTAAACATCTTACAAACGAAAAAGGGGTTTCGAGCCCGCAGGAAGCGCATTTTCGTCGCACCTTGTGACATGTGCACAGTGACATGCAGTGACACAGTGGGCCTTTCGCGCGTGAATGGAGGACCCTCGGACAATTGTGTGCTACCACATTGTTTGGCGAACAACAACGGCTTACACATGCATGAAAAAATCAGACTCACCCTTGGAACGGCGGCTTCTTTCGATCGAAAAACAAAAACCTGCAAATCAAGACAGAGGCATCCGTCTCCGTGAACAACGTCTAGTCTGTGGCACGAAAGAACTACCAGAAGATCTGCCCTTGGCCTCTCTATGCCCATCGGACGAGATGATGAGCGTGACCCTCATTCGTCGCTCAGCTGAGCAAGTCCAATTACTGGAGGATTTGCAAGATTCACATCATCCCAAAAGGGTTTTGCGAGAAGCACCGGCAAAGTTCCGTTCGGACCGCGAAGTCGTGTTGACAGCTGTGGTCCGGGATGCCTCCTGTCTCAGCCTGGCTGACAAGACACTGCAACAGTGCCGCGAGTTTGCCCTAAATTTAGCAGACCGGAATGGCATGGCCTTGAAATATTGCACTGCATTCCAGGACGATCTCGAAGTTTGCATGGCTGCCGTGAAGCAAGACGGCTTTGCCTTGCAATATGCTTCTGCAGCTTTGCGCAAGAGTAAAGCAGTGGTGCTTGCCGCTGTGGGCCGGGACGGCTTGGCCCTGGAGTTTGCAGCACCAGAGCTGCGGCAAGACAAGGAGGTCGTGCTGGCTGCACTTGAGCAAGATGCCTTGAGCATGGACTTCGTTGCGGATTGTCTGAAAATAGACCGGGACTTTCTCCTGTTTGCGGTCTCCGTAAATGGTAGAGTTCTGGAGCGCCTGGCCGAAGATTTGCAGCGCGACCAAGAGATCGTCCTGGCCGCATGCCAAGAAAGCAGCTCTGCGCTCCGTTTCGCCCACACGGCACTCCGCCATTCAGAGGCCTTTGTGCTCACCCTTTTGCAACGTCGCCTCTGCAGGCTCAATTACCCGGCGGAAGAGCTCTGGGCCCGCAAGGAATTTGTGCTGGAGGCAGTGAAATCCCATAGTTCGGCGTTGCAGCTGTCAGTCCCGTCGCTTCGTGAAGATCGCGAGGTTGTCATGGCTGCAGTCCAGAAACATGGCTACAGCTTGCAGTTCGCCTCCGACGAATTGAGGGGAGATCGCGAGGTTGTGATGAAAGCAGTCCGCCAGTACGCCAACGCGTTGGCCTTCGCATCTGAAGAACTGAGGGCCGACGCAGAGCTTGTAATTGCTGCAATAAGCAAAGACGGTTGCGCCCTGCGTTTTGCGGCTCCGGCACTCAGGGCAAATCGAGATTTCGTGCTACTGGCAGTGCGCAGCCGCGCTTGCGCCTTGCAATTTGCAGCCAAAGAACTCCGACTTGACGAAACAGTCGTGCTGCATGCCCTTGAGGCCGACTTGAGTGTTTTGGAGATTGTAGAAACTTCCCTGTGGTCACAGCCCAGCTTCCTGACGACAATTATGCGAAGACACGGCCACCATGAACACGTGGCCAGTTTTTTGGGACAGCCCTGCAAGAAGCCCAGGCGAGCTTTCGAGTGAGACGACAGCCGCAAGAAAATGCTCTGCTCATGGCCGGCCGTAAATTCAGCTGCAAGAACATGCGCCCAAAAAAAGGGTATATCACCGTTTGCATCCTTGAAACCACAGCAGCAAGCCAAACAGAGTTGGAAGCGGTTTCAAGGTGACTGAAAACCGAAAGAGATCGCAGGACTTGTCTCGGAGGAGGAGGAGACTCGCAGGCAACAAATCTCGTGAGAGGAACTGCGGGAAGGGGATGGAATGGGCATGTCTTGCAAGTGGAGCAGCGTCCAGGCCTTGTGTGAGACCCAGTTTTGTAATTCACTACCTTCAGGCTGCTTGCCAGCTACGTAGGTCAGCGTCTTCGGGGGCACGGAGCCACACTAGCAATGCATCCCTCGCTGGTCCACCAACGGAATTTCGGGCACGAAGAAGTCTAAATGGTCTGGAGTGTAGACGATGCAGGCCGGCAGGAAGGCAGGCAGGAAAGCTTGATGACGCATGTGTTCGGTGCAGCCGTTTTGCTCCAGCACACAGCCGGTGCGAGATGGCAAACGTGCCTGCCTAAGCTTCTGTAGATGCAGGCCAGGTCCCAGGCTGCAGGTGGCCTTAGAGTCACGGTGCAGGTGCTGTTTTGGAGTTGTCAATCTACTGCAATCTGATAAACATCACACGTGACATCACGCAACGGTGTTGATGCACAGCCCAGACATTCCATTCCCTGCAGGGCAGTCTCGCGCGCTGATGGTCAGTTCTGTCATGGCTGCAGCCTCAGAAGTGCGTCTCGTTTTTGCCTGCTCTAGCTCGTACATTTGCTTGCACACTTGAGGCCGAGGCGAACACCAAATGTCAGTACTTGCTCGGGCTTTCCTTCTTCGCGTTTCCGGTGCTGGTGTCGGCAGCCTGCTTTCCAGATGACTGCTGGGGGCTTGGGCTTGCTTCGATGCAGATCTCCCGATCTGAATGGGTTTTCGTGGGCCCTACCCGAGGTGCATCCTGCACGCAGGCCGAGTGCAATTTGGAGCCTGGCTGTTTGGACATCTACCCTGGCAACTTCGAGACGAGCTGCGTGGCAAAGCTGCAAAAGAGTCGTGGTTGAAAGGCTCGGTTAAAGACAGGGTGCAGCCCAGGTATCGTGTCCCAACACAACTTGTTTGAGTGCCAGCGTCTCAGAATCGAGAGACCTTTGAGCGCAGATCCGGACCGGGAACGCTTCACGAGGATGGCGGTTTGGATGTCACTGCCGGGTGCAGTGATGGCATCAACGTGCTGGTATCCCTCACAATGGGTCTCATTGGTGGCTTGCGACTTCGTCGTAAAGATTCGAGCTTAAGGCAGCTGTGGAAGGTTGGCTAGACTGTCACGGAACGCCTCTTGAAGCTGCATGTGCAGTTCTGAGGTTTGCGGCAGGGATGCCGTGCATTTGTTTGAGCATCCGCTCGCAAGAGCTTTGGGCAGCAGACCCTTGGAAAACAAAATGGTAATCGAATGCAATCGACGTAGTAAGGCAGGCGAAGAGGAAGTGCGGCACGTACCTTTTCAATCCTCACAGGTCTCAGGAGTGGCTTCATTTCAGGGCCTTCCGATTATGAAGCTGCTGGTAGGCATCCCTGTCGCTTTGTGCTTAAGCTGCGGCCGAGGAGTTCCTCGACGATAGCAACACAGAGATGCGCAGAGTGCGTGGTGTCATCAAGGACAAGAAAAATGTCGACAAGAGAGGCAGCGAGCTGAATGGTTGACAGTTTTGACAGATTTGCGGGAGGAATTGGTCAATGGGTATTGCAGTTAGCCCAGTGTTGACGAGCCTGTCCTTGTCAAGCGGCGCTCCATATCACTCAAAACCATGGGTACTGCATGACCTTCCATGTTGTGAAGCCCGAGTGCCACAAATCCAGGGTTCCCAGAGGCTTGATTGACTGCATGTCCGTGCACAAAATCAGGGTTCAGCGTGGTCCTTTGTCGGCAACACATCCTGCGGTGGACCGCTCGGTGCCTCCAAACCTCGCCTCACCGGATCCAAAAAGGCTCGAGTGATGCAGAGTCACTCCACATGCCTCCAGGAGGGTTGTTTAGGCCTGGTTGGGCGGCGATTGTTGAGGCTAACCTGTCACCAAGTGATTTGGTTAGCGCTGCATGGT